CAAGAGCACCAATGATGACGATATCAGGCTAAAACTTGACCTCCTCGAGGAGCGACGAGATGCCGTCAGGATCAGAGAGGCGAAATACAAGGAGATCCTCTGTAAACACTACAACAAGCGGGTTCCCTAAATAGATTTCGCGGTGGGGGACCTTGTGTTAAGAAAAAATGAAGCCAGTCGAGCAAAGATTCCCGGAAAACTCACGGCGAATTAGGAAGGACCTTACCAGGTCATTCAGGCCTCTCCGCCAGGCAGCTACTGCTTACAAGCCATGGATGACAGCGAAACCATCCTCCCTCAATGGTGGAACATTCAGAACCTTCAAAAGTTCTACGTTTAAGTCTTTCTCTGCGACCTGCTAGTTTAGGTTATTTGCTTTATTTGCCTTACGTGCTCTGCTGTTTTTACTTTCTCGTATGTAATACTAGCCCGGTTCCTCAGGTAATTAATAAACGTCATTACATATTTTCTCATATATTGTCGACATATAATTAAGACTAGTCTTCGAGATGGACTCCCTCTTAAGGCCATCCTCGTTTAGAGCCGTGTATTCAACATCCGGACGAAAGTCAAGGAAACCCCTCGTACCCACCATAGATCGCGGTACCAGTTTCCTCGAGAAAGCCGTGTACTTAACATCCGGCTCAGAAGCGCTATACAAATAAAAAAAATCGAGTTTTCAAAGCAATACGTTTGCTACCTTCACATATTGTGTAAAATTCTAGGGAGAGCATACATGTTTTCCTATGATATTACAAGAATCTCTACGCTGGGGTTGTCAGGAGATGGATGGATAATGCCTTTAAACCCATGCAGGTAAAGAGATTTACGTACTGGTTGAGCTTATCCTTTAGATCTATAATCTCTTCGTCCTGGGAGTGAACCCTTAAAAGGAGTTCCTCTCGAGAGCTCGTGGTTCTTGGATCTGTCAGCTCTTCGGGCTTCTCGAAGGGTGGGAAGTCGACTCCATGATCCAACAGTAAGTTCTGAAGCTCGCTTATGTATTTCATCAGAAGCTCAGCTTCTCAAGTCCTTTCCTTCAGCATGTCCATCGCCGAAATAAATTGACGCATCCTTATTAAAATCATGTGCTGCACTCGAGCAAGGACCTCATGCTTCTCGAGAAACCATGGTGACACGGTAATCTGTTTACCCTATTTTAGCCGGGCATTCTCTTTTTCCAGAGCAACCAGCTCATCATAAATGTCCGTCTCAAAAGTTAGAGAATCACTAAAATCTTTATCTTTCTGATAATCATGCTGTTGCATTTCCGCGCGGAGTTCTTTTATTTCCTTGATCAGATGCTGGTTGACTTTCACATGACGCGCCCGCATAGCATCGAGAAGGTCTGCTTCTAGGTTCACTACTGTCTCGATACTATAGACATCTGCATGACTTCTCATAATCTCGCTAATCATCGAGTATAGAGGACACTCCCTTGATTGTTCCTCCAACAAAATCGTGAGATGAATTCGATGGACCGGCCAATTATCCTGTTTCAGGAAAAATCCAGAGGCCAAAAATTAGAACTGGAGAGATAGACAACATGCTATTCATTTAAGGGACAAATAAAACTTGAATTGTTTACAAAGATCTCTAACAGCTATTACAGAGGGATGAGTTCATACAGCATCTTGTCCAGCAGAATCATCCTTGGGATGACTCGGAGATACCTCTCCGGCGTTCTTCTGCCCTCCAGAGTTGCTAGTGTCAGACACGTCTTCCCCCAAGGCCTCATCATCTTCTTCCTCGAGCTCGATGCCGATATACTCATCCGGCACCTCATGAATCAACTCCTCATCGCTTGGACCCTTGGACAAGACTCTAGTGAGATCACCGGGGAATACGGCCATATCTTCAGGAGAATCCATCTTAACGAGGGCTACTGCTCACTACTGAGCTTCGTGAGGACCTTTACCAAAGCCTCATACATGGTTTTCCTAAGGCTCTCTTTCAGGAATTGTTTGAACCATTTGTCCTTGATGGGTCTCTCTCCGCTAAGCCTCTTAAGACCTGCAACAGCTACTCTGTGAGCCCCGTACTCTGTGACTGCCATATTGACCTCTTCGATGGCTGCTGCCATGCCACCTGAAGATAACATCCTGAACCAAAAGGCAGTACACCATTTGTCGAGGTCCTCCCTCGAGATATGCAGATCAGCAAAAGCCCTCAGTTTCTCATCCAACTCATTATATCTCGCCTGTATCGAGGCTAACTCCTGCTCTTTGGCTTGTATCTGTTGGTTCTTCACCTCGAGAGTGGCCTTCTCAACAAGCGCTTGGTCCCTCTCGATCCGAGCCTTGACCAACTCCTCCTTTAGGTTCCTTAAGTGCATCAGGTATGCCATCGAGGGCGCACTCATCTGTAAAATTTAGCCAAATGAGACAAAATTCCTTTCCAGGAGTATTTACACACATGTTCTCAAAATGCTATAAAGTACTTACAAGCCTCACGCTGTCGGTCGTTGTTAGCTGTGCAACAAACTCTTCCAACAAGGGGCATTCAATGGTCAGAGGACGCCAAAAGTATGAACTGCCACTGTTGGTCCTCCCTCGAATTCACGGGACCGCATAATTGTTGCTTCCTCCTCAAGCGGGCCCTTCCCTTTGTCCACAATAGGTACCTTAGCGCTTGGGTTTGCTTCTACTTGGGGGGTGGCGGCCCTTTCGGCTGCGAGGGGGGCGCTGGTGTTCTCTACTTCAGGAAGCATGGTATTCTCTCCTTGCACCGTCGACTTCGAGGAGAGCACATCTGCCTTCTTTTTCTTCTCCTTCTCAGAGATCTTCACGAGTCTTTTCCTTTTCTTCTTGGTTCCAGCGGCTACCATAGTTGACTCTTCTTCATCTGAATTCACAATAGGAAAGGGATCCTCGTCACCATACAGTCGAGAACCAGCATTGCTCGATGTCATGACCTAGGAATAACAGAAACAATGAAAAGAGATTAGTACCTTTTTCCTCCTCGACGGAACGATTAGTATCTTTTTTCTCCTCGACGGGAACCGGGGGAATGTCTGACTGCACATTACTCCACTTAATCAATTTTGGATATTTCAGAATTTTCTGCAAGTCATTGTTGAGCTCCTCGATGCACTCGTCATCTTTCTTGGTCCATTTATCCTTTATTACACCAAGACCTTCTGTTTCTTGATGGTCCCAGGCTACACAATAACTTTCCGGGGCCTTCACGAACAGGTAGTCAGGCTTCCATTCTGGCGAACCACCATACGCCTCAACCATTTTCTTATTACCTGATCTTGGGCGTTTTTTCACGATGTACCAATCTTGGAATGGTGTGGAGCGAACCATCACTTGGAATAAATACCTCCACAAAATCAGCTGGGGCTTCACTTTCACTCATTCACATATTCTCGCAAACGTGAGAACAAAAGTTATAAGGTTGGGTGTGAAACGAGCAAGAGGTGTTTTGTAATGTTGAACAATTTCCTCGAACAGAGGGAAGAGGGGGAACCTTAGCCCTAAATACATAAAGCGGTCATATGCAATAATTCTTCTCTCACAAGGAGAATTGGCCCTCTCGATATGTATAGGGGCTCTCATATCTAAATCTACAGGAAGGTTGTATCTCGTTTTGACTGCCCGAATTCTATCATCGAAATTAATGGTAGAAGCCAAATCTCGGACAGTTTTCAGATCTGGATTCCTAGTAGCCATATCTACCAAAATATACACTCCTAACACGTTACAACAGAAGAAATGATGGAATCGAAACTGAGAGCGGTAGATCTGAGAAACTTACTATTGGAACGAGTTTCCACTCCCCTTTTGAATTGTATTCTCCCAGGTTCACAGTTGACTCCGGCGACGGCGTCTCCTGGAACAAGGACAAGTTGTCACGCAGGGCAATTAGAAAGGTGTTTATCGCGTATGGGACAGTTTTCTCCTTCTTGGCAGGGGTGAATACTTCCGGTGATACAAACGCTGGAGCACTGTAATAACAGGGAAGATTTTCTAGTTGGGTTTTTAAAACTTGGGAATAAAGGGCGAACGTTAAAACTAATTTCCTTCAAAGGGCATATAAAGAGAACCGGTCCTCCACGTTCCTGCCGTTACAACACAACTCGGGGCAGTTATGATGATGTTGGTCGTTGTTTGGGCAACGTGTCTACTAAAGACGCGTGGATTGGTGCTTTAGGCGGGATTTTGAATCGGATCGCCTTCCCGGATCGAATCCTGACCCGCGAGTTACCCCATCATCCCCGCTCGATACAACGTGGTATTCATCCAACTTGGGCCGGGTCCAAGTATTATTTATTTTGTATCAAGCATTATTTATTTCATACAACTTATACTTGACAGGGGCACTTGACGAGTCCATATCCACCGAGTGCTACTGGACCGGCCCATCTGCTTATTATGGTCCAACCGACCTTACAGAGGCGGTTCTGGAACAAAAGATCTAATAGGATTCGGCCTCCTTCAAGATAATTCCATGCCTATAAATAGGGTTGATCATACCACAATACGGGTACGCTATCTCTAGCATAAATCACTACTCTCATACATTCTTAAAACCTCTTTCTGACTTAAGCATCGGAGTGTACCCTCAGGAGACCCCAAGGCCTTCTTTTACAGAAAACCCTAGCCGAAATTTCACTATTATAACCGGTGGTGGAAAACCAAATTTCGTGAGTTTCAATCCAAATATTTGCATCTGTTATCATGTAAATAATTTTTTTTTTTTTTTTTGCATCTAGGAACAATGTTAATTAGTGACTAATGGTATTTGATACAGTATATTGTGTCTTTAGTCCCAAATTTTCTTAAGCATTCTTTTAACTGATAGATCTGTTTCTTTAATCCAAATGTCAACCATCTCCACCGACGTCGATGCTGATGCATGTTATCAGGTTGAACCTCCACCAAACCAACCTTTTTGAAATGTAATGAATTCATGTTAATACAAATGGCATCTGATATACAACAATCATTTCTTCTTCCTTTCACTTAGATTGAAAGAATTTTCTCATTTGTAAAATCATGGAACAAAAAAGGCTATTTGATGCAGCATACACAGGTGATGTTGCCACCCTTTTCCAGTTACTTGAAGAAAATCTCAACCTCATGTATAGATCCTATTTAGATTGTGAAGATAAGAATGTTCTTCACTTTAGTGCAATGCTTGGCAACCTAGAATTCGTGCAAGCGACTCTTCATGTTTTTTCGTGCTCATCTTTTTCTGATATGTGTTTCGCTAACGATCGCTATGGCAGGAATCCTCTGCATCTTGCTGCAATTAATAAAAGATTGAACATCTTACATTTGGTAGATGATTATGATGTGATGAAGCAAGCAGCTTTAGAGAAACCTCAAGGTGGAGGGACCATTTTGCATTTGAGTGTCAAACACAATCAGCTAGAGGCGATGAAACTACTAATGCAGATTTTTACTCATCCAAAATTCGTAGGTGCCAAAGACGAAGATGGTATGACCATACTACATTTGGCTTTGGAGAACAACCAAAATCAGGTATCCATTGTCAACTTCCTTTCTCTTGGATCAATGACTTGTTTCTCCCAAAAGTAGTCACAGTAAAAGTAATTTGCAGTTTAACCTATTTGAATTGTGACTTTCTTATTCTACATGCAGAGGGGAGAAATCATAATGTACTTGATAGAGAACGCGGCTGAAATCATCAACATAAAGAATGGGAATGACAAAACTGCAGTGGATCTCTTCCTGGAGCAGGCTAGAATACCCCCTCGGGATCTCATTATGGTCAGAAGGAATAAAAGGCTCTTCCTGAAATTGGAAAGCGATGAAGTAATTAAAGATTGTTTCCTAAGGTCTAAAGCACAATTTGGTGGTGATGATATCTTTGATACTGAATATCTGCACCATTTGCTAAATAGTATTGATAAGAGCAGAGATGCAATAATGATTGTGGCTTCCATTATCGCAACCATGGCATTTCAACTCATGGCGAACCTTCCTGGAGGCGTTTGGCAAGACAACTTATTAGAAGGTCCTGCTCCACACCAAGCTGGAGAAAGTGTGCTCGCAGTAACTCAACCAGTCGTCTACAGGCGGCTGATTTGGGGTAACACAGTAGCTTTTGTGTCATCTTTGACCATAATTATGATGATGCTGGGTAACGGTATGAGCAATCGCAGCAGACTTCCCATAATCCGGCTCGTTATCTTGTGTGCTGCCATGGCCGTGTCAGTCGCATCAATTTCTTATACTTATGCCCTGTTGTCTGAGCCGCTAGTGCCAGAGCCAGCGAGATGGGGTCAGAGTCCAAACCTGTTGGCTTTAATCATTGTCGCCATTGTGATGTGTATTCCCATGATCTTGCCTACCTCTGGTGTTAGAACGTGTTATACATTCTTTTAGTGTCAAGTACAGGTTATGAAACCGAACTGAGGCTCTCTATTTGGCAGACCAATCAATCTGTCTAAAGCCAAGAGCGTATCCATCAGGATTGAACTTTCTGCAGAACAAAGGTTTCAGGCTAAGGGCTTCAATTCGCGGTATGAATGAGCAAAAAGACAGAGATCATCTTGTCAATGTTTTCTAGGAAAAATGGATTTCTCAGAGCAGTTTGTAATACCCATTGATACGTCCTTGATTGCACAGCCGCATTAACAAAACTATATTCCATTTTGCATTACACTATTTGCCCTGGCTGTGCAAGTACTGATCATTTATATATATATATATATATATATATATATATATATATATATAAGATGGAAGACGCGTACTAATCATTGTTACAAGCAAAAGTATGGGCACTGATATCTATTAAAAGAACCAATGTGATTATGAAAGCAATTAAGCAAATGAATTGCGAAAGTAAATTGTCTTTAAGACCTTTTATGAATTGTTTATTATTTTAGTTTTTAGCATAAAGCTAATCAATAAAAAATTGTGATGTACAGCAACGCAATGTTAGAACCACGAAAAGGCATCTAGATTATGTCGAAGAATTAATTCAACAGGTCTGCATGTGAACGGTCTTTTTGTAAAGAGATCTACAAAAAGCCAATGCGAAGTCATTGTCGTTTTGGAGAAGGAAGCAAACAGTCATACAGACGTTCCAAGCGTGACGTGATAACCAGCTTATGTTGTGTTTCAAGGCCTGGCTTTGCGAGATCATAGATATCACGTCGCAAGCTGTTCGAGCAAGCAACTATTAGAAAAAGAGAAAAAATGAAAAAAGAAGATAACATAAACTTATTTTCCCAAAAAAAATAAAAAATAAAATACAAGTAATCTCCAAATCAGATTATTCTTCTAGTGAGCATCAATATTATTTATACTAAACAAATTCATGAAGTTTTCATAAGTTTCGTTTTCCTTCCAATGTTACTTGTTAAAACAAACAGATCATATTTGTTTCCAATGCTAAAACCGTAAAAAGTTTCAGATTGAATTCGTTTCATATCACCCCTCCATGTATGAATTTGTTCTACCTATCATTATTTGTCCAATGATCGTCGAGGAATTCACACTCCAAAGTACAAAAGAATACAACAACATGCAATAATAAGACTGACTATATTAGCCAAGAACTAACCTCATCCATTCACCAGTTGCTTTTGCATGCTTCTCCACTGCACAACATAAGCGATCCAAGCCATACAAAAGCAGTCCAAACATCGAATCTGCATCTTTTTCCTGGGGAAAAAGCGAGAAAATGTTCAGGAGGACAGATTGAACATCTCGGATGTTGGAACACAAGGCCAGAATTAAGAATTCAGGGCTTAAAGGCAACAATTCAACTAAATTTTTGGGCACTAAGGCACCGAATAAAGAGCACAAATAGCAATCAAACACTAACATCTACTTTCTTGAACAAGAGCGCAAATCAAACGAAAATGTCAACTTCTAACAATTCATTTAGGTCTTAAATATTAGAAGGTTCTTTTGTAAGGCAGCAACTTACAAAACAGATGTCAATTTGGTCCACTGGAATTTATTAGTAAACATGACTTGATAAAGGAGGCAATATCTGAATCCTTTGGAAAAATGTAATCAAAGGAAGACTTGACCTTGAGTGACTTGGGGTGGGAGGGTTGGGTGGGGTGGTTAGGGAATTAGGATGGGGGATGGTTATTACTAGGAGGTCGAGGGTTCGATTCTCGCTGGAAAAAACCTTGAGTGACTTATGAGGAAAGTATAAAAGTAGAAAAGTTTGACGTGATGAAGTGATTCCATAGTCCTAAAGCCCTATTCTGAAGTGTAATAAATAACAAAAGCTCTTTGGTATCAAGAAGTTCCAATCCTGCAAATGATTAAATACTTCCAGCTGACCACAATTTGTGGCCATTTCTGCACATAAAATTTCTTTTAGGAATAGGTAGTAGAGAAGAAAAATGACAAATGTCCATCTTGCAAAGGAAATCATTTATATATGCCTACCAGTCCTTTGTCTTTGCAAATCTGATATTGCATAAGCCCCCTCTCGATCTCAACCACTAGCAGCCTTCTTTGAATTCTAGCAACTCTTCCCCTACCTTCTGCTCTCGTGTCCTGGTACAAAAAGATATATAAGAGATGGTAAGAATTTCTATTCCTGGGTGTTGTACAAATTGCACATCTGTTCGGTTATACTGGTTGACAAGCTAAAATGTAATGAGTATGATCGGAACATAAATATTCAATGATACTGGTAGACGTGCTGTAGTTTAAAAAAAAACCATTGGAAAAGGTAGGAACAGAACAAATAAATAATTTGATAATATTGAAACTACATCACATGGTAGTAAGACGGATAAATACTTTTAATCACAAAAGACGGGAAGAATAAATAAAGGACAAGTATAATCATAAAGGATAAAAATCACCAGCATTCATGACAAATATAGAAGATGCTACAATCATGATCCATGAGATAAAAGGACAAACAATCTACTTCCGCACATTAGAAGCTGCATTAGAGGTCCAGCCAAAAATAAAATGTCGTGACTGCTATTCAATGTCTAAACAGCACTGTCTGCTAATGTGAAACAAGTAGAAATGCAGTTTCACCTACGAAATAAAAGCCCAGACATCGGAGGCACTTCCTTCGGGAGAAGTCCATCCATCTTGTGAGCCAAACAATAAACAAACTAGTAGCACTAATTTCAGTTCCAAGCCAGAGTGCTATAGATCCGGATGACGTCATCACAAAATTCTTATGAGGCAGCAAGGAGCTCAGGCTTCCTTTGTTTTCCCATATCATCCTTCCAGTCATCCAATACCCAAACATAGCACTATCCCAGAATATATAGCTTTGCAGTCATCCTTGCCAAAATACTAGTTAGATTCTTTAATGACATTAACAGAGCAGGAAACATCCTAGGGTTCACACAATTTATTAGATGACTATGACCGTAAAAACATATATGCTGAATATCAACCATATAAACCTTATTTCTAATTCTCTGTTTCAAACAAAAACTTAAAACTTGGTATGAACAGCTTATTGAGATTTGAGTTTCTATATACATACAATGGACAATTGGGAAGAAATTGATTCAACAAATCAACCACCCATAATCATTGTGCACACCCAATGTTGTTGCTGTGCTTTGTGAAAGCACATATTGTCATTTAAAATCAGATAATCATGTCCTTTACAACAATTTTTGCGATTATTTTCAGATAACCCTTCCCTTTTTGAATTGAGTTGATGACACTTAGCAATCTGCTATTTTCTTACCTTAGCATCTAGAGGCCTCCCACATTAGTGTCCAAACCATATTAAGCGAGATTATCTTAACATTTTTTATGTGCTGGTGCTACCCACATTCTTTCAAATTTGCTCATTACTAATCCTATCTAATATAATTTGTTTGCAATCATCTTAACATTCTGATAGCCTCAGTTTTTCTTGTTTTTATGTTCAGTAGTCCAACAGAAACCCATAAAGCACCACTGGATGTATGGTTATTTCACAAAATTTTTCTTTCAATTTCAACAGCGTTTATGGTTTAAAAATACCAGGAATTACTTCTTCACTTTTCCGACCTGTTCGAGTTTTACATACCCTGTCCTCACTGGTTTCGCAATTTTCTTGAATAAATAAATCCTAATTTGAACCTGTTTGATGTACTTAAAGAAGAATCATCTACTAAAGTATTATACACCAAAGAACAGCAAAAATGATAAAAAAAAAATGGCTCACTGTATGCATAAAAGGGTTACCCTTACTTGTTTAAACCATGCCCGCACCAACATCAACAGTATAAGAGAGAGACCAAATGCTGGTAAAGCAGCCAAAATAGCAAAGTTTATCTCGTTGGCCCTAAGAATCTGGTCCAACTCAAGCATTGCCCTATTTTAAAAGAGTTAAGGTTCAAAATTCAAGTTAATATGCAGTGAGCTTAAAAATCAAGAACCCAAAAGTTCAAGTTAATATGTTCTGATGCTTGTAATAGTATTATAAGACACTTTCAACTTACGTTTCAATATCTAGCTTCAGCTTCTGAACCTGCCGTGGAAAAGAATTTACTGTCAGACTCAAATGGCATCCTAAACCTGAAAAATGGAATTATATTAGACTACGGTACCTGTATAAGGAGAGCACGAACAAGCTCTCCACCAAGAAGATTCTGGATTGGATGCATAAGTTCCTTCTCATACCTGCATCAGAACATATCAGAAAAAACTAATGTGGGGGATTACGAAATCAGCACAACCATGGAGGTAAGGAAATCAAAATGCAACCCATTGTAAGCAGATCAGTGAGTGCTCAGCCAAAACAAATCCATACTCTTTCTTTTAGGAAAGCAGATAAATTAAGTTTAAAACTGAGAAATCTGATTGAGGTAAATTGCTGGAAAACTAAGGGTATGTTTGTTTCGTTTTTTTAGTGTGTGTTTTTAGGTGTTTTTTGTATTGGGAATGTAAAAAGGTGTATTGGAATTGTAAAAAGCTATGCTGGGATGGGACAGTTATTATTTAAATATTTTGAAAATACCATAAAAAGAACCTAACAAATTTCCAAGGAGGTAAATATTTTATACGAGTTTTTCTTTAGATCAAATCTGAAATCTCCTCTTGGATAAATACATTACTGGCAGACTAAAAATTGAAAAAATGAATAGAGATTAAGATTCATCCTCACTTTCCCGTATAACAAATTTCCAATCCAGACACAAAAGCTATAACAAAGCGCTTATACATAGATAATTTTATAATTTCATTAACGAAATACAGAACTGGGAACCTAAAATTCATGCCAAGCAGCAGTAAGTACCAAAATACCTTGACACCTATAAACTAATTTTCTTTTTTTTTCAAAAAAAAAAAAAACTGATATAAAACAATAAAACAGGAGGAATACCAGAAACCCCTCCTACGGTCAAAATCAGAATCATTGACTGGAAAAATCAAGACTCTTATAAACCACCAAGACAAGCAATTAATAGCAGAACATACCTTCCCATGACTATTTCAAGCATTTCTTGGTCTGATGCGTTCTGCGGAATTTTTTGACCTTTTGTCTGCTCACTGAAAGCTAAAAGCATCCTGAACGCCAATGACAATATCACATACACTAAAAGTTACGTTTGGTCCATGTTTGCGATGCATGGCTTGAGCTCTCAACATGATCACCCCACTAATTGTCAAGGTAATATTCATTTCGAGCTGGGGCTTATGAATGCAAATGATTATTTGAAAGAAATAATTCACAACACAGATAACAAAAAGTGAAAAAGACGAGTTCCTTTTCACTATCAAACGAATGACTAAAATAACATATATCCAATAAAGAATTTTCCTACCCAGATAAGGAACCATCTTTCACTCCTGGAAGCAACTACATATAGAATATGACAGCTTGTTATGAAAATATTTGTTAGTACTAACAGAAAATCAGAAGACTTCTCAAAAGCAACTAAAGCAACCACTCACAGATCAAACTGAATTCTATCAAGGATATAGTGGGTAGATCCATCCATCTCCCTTATTCAAGATAGAAGACTTCTCAGCATCAAACTTAGATAAGGATGCCCATGTGAAGGAGAAAGATTGCCACAATATATTTGCATTCAGTTACAGAGCTTTAAGGCATTGATTCATGCAAATTAACTTGTCAAGAAACAACTCCTTCAGATATGGTTCCTATACATAGATTATCAAGAATGAAACTGTCAGTTGCATCATTCTCCGGGATTAGTATCTCCTTCAAATCCTGCAAATCCAAATGAAAGGACAAAAGACGATCTCCACCTTTTTGGTATCTAAAAAATCTCAGTTCACTCGCTCCTGATGCTCTGTCTATACTATAAAATTGATGAAAATTACTAATTGTTGGCTGAAGAGTGCATGAATAGGGCCAAATACTCAACGCCGCTCCCTACAGTATTTAAAGTTAAATAAATCATCATTCCTCACTTTAGAATCTGTACTTCAATGTCATCCTTTAGTTTAGTTAGGGTTTTTTTTAATTTAAAAAAAAAAAATCCACCCCAGTGGACCCTACTTAAATGTGGGTAAAACCCCCCTTACAACCCCTGAGGGAATCGAACCCTAGTCTATTACCAGGAAGGACAGCAACCTAACCACCAGGCTGTCATTCAATTCCCACAAGTTCGTTAGGGTATTTATCTATTTAATGGAAAGAAACTTATTCAATAAAAAAATACTCATCCAGATTTCAGACTCACAAAAGAGTACAGGGAGTTGGATCCCTTACAAATCACCATCGAACCTTCAAAGTAGGTTTTTACCTATTATATGTCTCTTCCAAGATCATATTGAGGGACACGTATCTGTAGAAAACTTTTTACAGCACAAACAATTCTTCCTAATCCGAGCTAAGTGTTCAAGTGTCTTACTTGATAAGACTATGCAGCACTGAATACATAGAGTGGCCATTAGCTACCTAGTTTCAAAATCCAACATTTTCAGCTCAAACAATCTATGTGTGAGGCCCATTAATTATCAGAAATATGGCAAAAGTTAAACTACTGAGCCCCCGAGTTGGTTTTAAAATCACGCAATCATCCATTCTGGATATATCAATCTGAGAACGTCAAAGCATCCTCATTAACAGCAAATGATCAGAGTGGACTAAAATAACAAAAACCAGCTGATTGATCCTATCTTAGCTCAGTTGAGTAGTGTGAAAATTGAGTCAGTCCCATGTTGAGCAAGCAATTTGAACTGCAACAGTTCTGATAAATTCAGCTGGTACTATGACACAAATTTATGTTCATCACGGGAATCCATCAATTAAGCAAAGTTACATTGTGGCTTGCATCCAAAAAAGAAACTTTATTTTCAGATAAGTTAGCATTTCATGTGAAGAACCAGTAACATTCTACAGCCATTTACATACAGCATCACTGTTAGCCAAGAGATAACAAACTAAAATTAAACTGGAAAGGACTTCCTCCTCTGTGTAGTCAGAAATTCATTCAGATTTCCTAAGCTCAGCAAACATTCACATCGAAGACACAAGCTAAAAAACCACTCTAAGAAAGCACCTTAAACATCAGTCTCAAGAAATTTGATCGCTGAACCTTAAGATTCACTAGTCATCTCCTAGAATAACTTTTTAAACCCCAAAAACCTAAAAAATAAATGAGAGAAACAATAATTAATGTCTGTAAAGATGTCTGTAAATGGACAGACATGTACGGTTTTGGATGTGTGTATACATATCATTATCAATTAGAAGTCAAACAATATGTTCCAGATAAGTGAGAATAATTGAAAAGAGCAGCCAAACAATTATCCATATGATACCCCTCATTTCTTAACCTTCCCTTTCCAGTTGCTACAACAATTATCATCAATTATTATACGAAGAGGCAAAAACAAACAGCACAATGACTTCATTATCATAGAGCAAATAACCTACCTATGCAGAGAATCAGCAGTTAACTGCACTTCTTCACGTTCCATCACACCCTTCTGCCTCTTCCTGAATGTCTCGAACAGCTCATCTCTTATAGACAAAAGCTGAGAATTAAAGACAAAAACCACTGTTTGAGTATTTCAAAACAAAAAGCCATCACAGATGTTAACCAGTAGAGACTCACATTATAGAAACATATTTATTGCAATCGACACGATATGTTATATTGCGTACTTTTGTGTACTTTATAGCTTTGAAAACCATAACTATGTCTATTTGTTGCAGTTAACATGATCTATTACTGATAGAATCAAATAAACCCCCACTATTAATCAACATGTCCATTAATGACTATATGTACTCATCTAATCATTAATTGAGCCAGAGAAATGGATAGCAACACTTGCCGATCACGAAAGTAAAATTTCTTTTTCAGACATTGATCAACTAACATCAGTGCACACCAAGATTGTTTAAGAATGTACTTGAAGAACATATAATCTGCAACTTCATCTATAGAAATTAGTAAATAAAGGAGTTGCATAAACTTGAGAACCTTATACGGCACTCAGAAAAAAACAAACAGAAGGCATGTTCCATTCAAACAATTATAATCAATGCCCTTTCACTTTCTTCTTTTACGATATGAATTTGTTAGAAGCTTCCGAAGGAAAGTCTACAATTATCACCTTCTGATTATCTTCTGTTTTCCACATCACTAAATACTCCTCTAATTGCATGTTACTTTCAATAACTTCTCTTAAAAGGGCACTCTAGTTAAAGTTAGTGGTGGAACTGAAAATCCGTCCAATTGTAAAAATGTACAACAGAAAGATATCAAACAACACAAAGTCATTCAAAAATATATGGAAGTTTAAGAATAATCAAAGACCAGAGAGCAAAGCAATATTTGAATTTTGGAACAAGAAATATATGACAAATTCAAATACACATGCGTCTGTTTTTAACCATTTAGCCAAAACAGGTTTACATGGGTCTCCCTCCATTCAATGTTCCAGATCTATCTATTCCTCCACTGTGTTTAGTTCTGACAACCTTTTAAGAGAAGCTTACCACTAAATTCATATATCCAACTTTCACAGTAAGGTAGCTAAGGCTGGAGAAGCATTTGTCGTTGATCTTATGATTTGGTAAACTTCACATACCCTCAGCTACCAATTGCTCCTGACCCGCAGGTTTAACAAATTAATGAATACACAAATACTCTAAATTACTATTGGAAGTGTTTGATGCAACCACAACAAATCCCAAATCATTTAGATATTTGATTGTAGTCGCAAAAAACTTAAAAGAGAAAAGAAGGGAAAAAAAAAAAAAGCCTGCTCTGGATGCACAGTGACACAGCTAAATGTATTTAAGCCCTTATTATCCTCGATAGCATTTCAGTGATTATCTTTGTCCTCCACAAAAAGGTTAACCGAAGGAAAAGGACGGCACAGGCGTAACTTTGTAAAGTAAGTCATTGCCAACAAATCAAACCATATGTAACAACAATTCACATCCTAATTCATATATATGCCCAAAACAAACTCTAGTATCCAACATAAATACATAGTCTTACAGGCTGTTCCACATGATCCTTCCAGAATCCAACTGTCGAGTCTTTCGCCTCACGTATCCAATTGTCAATGTCAGCGCTCCCCATGACCCTACTGTGACTAAGTAGCCATAGTGAACAAACAGAGATACCTACAGCCCCGCATGTATAGTGCATCCAATATAACGTCACCTTTCTTGGCTTTTGATGTTTTGCAACCTAAGACAAGCAAACAAAATGTAACTGTTATTTTCTAAAGTTGCGTATATTAGCAACATGTTACCTATTTCACAACTAGACTGCTGCATTGTTCCTAGTGTTCCTAAAACTTTACAGTCATTAATGCTGCTTATACTTTTTCCAAACCTAATCTGGTAAACGAACAGCACAGACGAACAACAAATTTCAGCAATGGGACCATGCCAGGCAAAAGTGTAAAGTCCTGTGTCATGACATCAAACTGAATCTTAAAAGTTGTTGCTCGGATTTGATACTACTTTGGATATTGCAATATAAAATACAGGTCCAAGGAAACTATCTTTAAACATTTGCTGGAATACGCGTTCAAGTACAAGTCCAGAACACGAAGTTCAAATACATGAAACTAAACCCATGTCAAGGATCTATTCATTTTTCCGTTTAGCTGTCCATTTATAAAAGAAAACAGCGGACTGATTTATATATATTAGAATTATTAATTTAATTTTGGACAAAGCAGACTGCTGCTCTGATCTCTTCAAAAACTGACGCAGGATCTTCGCATCCTGAGGTACAGATTTATTTGAAAAGCATAATATATCAATCAACAGCCACATTAAATCTAAGTGTATAGTCATTCACGACTAAAACATAAAACATTACTCACTGGGAGAACTATTGACATGTAAATAGATATTCTCAGAGGATTCTGGCATTAATTTAAGAGAAATACCACCATTCACATATTATTTGCTTTCCCGAAGGCTGGCAATAAAATGTGAGTAAACGAATGACAGATCAGTAAGAAGAAGAAACTCTTACAAGACTAGAGATATACGTGTCCAATTTTTGTAGATTCTGATAAATCAAGTTGATAGCATCTCTGGTTTCACATTCTGTCCACTGAGATCCTTCTTGGTTTACTTCTGGAAGTTTATCAAACACCAATGGAAATGAATAACTTCCATCAATAGATGAACCGGTCTATGAAGCCAAAAAATAAAACAGAACAGGAATTAGTTCCAATCAAATTGTTAACAGTTTTCATCTGACAAAATATTGAAGCAGTTACAACCTGGCGATTTGCGTGGAAATGGCCGATAGATGCCTCCAAATTCAAAAATAAATTGTTGATGATGACCAACAGAGAGGGCACTGACTTCTCTGTCTCCTTAGCCAAATCATCTCCAACTTTATCAACCTCCATATAAACCTAAATTGTGCAAATCATAGAGCGATTGAAATAAATAGCCACTCGAAACAAGACCACAAAAACAATTACTTTGTTTAACAATTAGATAATCACTTGGCTTCATGCCACGGGGTCAATAATGAAATATATATGCGTATCAGCACTTCAAAAGAAAGAGATCTATATATTGTCCATGTTGACAGTAAAGTGGGTTTAATAAAAGTTAATAGAATATACTTGGAAGAGTATTGATAAAGATAGAGTTGAAAGTAACTTATAAAGGTCACATGTAATACACCAGTGCGGATGTCACATAAATTCTTCAATTCTATAAATCTACATCAGGAATCAGAAACAAGCTTATACGTTCATGCCCTCAGTAGGATAACTAAGGGACAGATAGCCATTACTGCACGTTAACTTATTCGCAGACCATAATATTAATCAATATGACGGGTACTATGATCATCTAAGGGTTCACAAATGGTAGAGATAGAACCGAATATAAGGTATCCCACTTTAGTGATCAGAAAGTTGACAATAAGCTGAATATCAAAATCAATGAGCATTGCCTAAACACATACATAAATTTTAAATATTCAAGAACTGTCCTTCAATATGGATGGGAAATAAATTATAGATTACACCCATTTGAGTAGGTTAAAACACATAGAAAGGCATCCTCCACACTCTGCACCACAAAGTAGTGCTGAATTTGACAAGAAAATGTACAAAATAACCAAATGACTACAGGCTCCTCACAGAAAAGATTGCTAAGAATGGAATATTGAAACAAACAAAAACTGAGTTTCATTAAAAGAATGTAAGTTGAATCTTAGACACCCGAATAAAAGGAGTAGAAAAAATATAATCATATTAACCTAGAGTAGAGAGACAGGAAAGGCTAAAAGTAAAATTGCGAGTGCAACTCAATTCATCAACCTATTACAAGCAGTCTACAACAAACTCTATAAATGCTTGTACTAGTTTAATGGCCAGTATTCTAGAAACAATACTTCAAGTGAAGCGGAAAAGTACAAGAAGGAAACCTCTTCCACTGAATTTAGCAACGACAGCACCTCTTTACAGTTGGTTCACAAAAAGACAGCTTTCAGTTATGGAAAAAGGGAGGGGACAATATACTCTGTGTGGTCTGGGACATACACAATACCAGAAGAATTGAAACTTGGAACATAGAGCTCTATTGATAGAGTCTCGAAATTGTTACTTTTATAGGTCTACAGATCTGAATGGAAATGGTAAGGGCAAATTTCTCGATATGTGCATGTAATACAATGTTAAAATATTTTCATTTAGGTGTCCGTTATACAATTTTTACCCACAATTCCATCACGCTATTCAACAATATACAAGAAGACGGTTGCATTTGTACTACTAACAGGTATACCATCTAATAGATACTAGGAAATGCAAGCAGAAGGTATGATCCTAACATCAGACCTCCTCCAATATGATATCTCTGCATACTCAAAAGGAGTTGTATGTCACTCAAATGGCTTAATGAGAAAAGAAACTTGCACTCTTTACATGATTTGTTAATGAGAAGGCTGTCTAAATTATTCTGTTCTAACACAGCCGCTTTTGTTCCAATCTTAGAATTCCATTAAAAAAATTGTGAATTCTACAAAAGCATGACAAATGTTAAATCAGGGAGCGCTCATAAAACGCAAAGCTGAGTAATCAAAAGTAAAATATCTAACCTGTGCCAGAAAATCGGCCAAATGGTATCTAAGGTTAGAAAGGACGATAATTCTCTCAGACATGTATGACGAAGCAGAACAGATCAATTGCTGCTTTCCAGAACCCTCAGCAAGTGAATCACGAATGAACTGAATTACGCCATCGATAAATGCCTGTGGCCCTCTTTCACAAATCATGAAATATGCTTTTTGGGCATTTGTTCCCTGAAAATGAGATACAAGATAAATCAGCAAGATTCAATACCCAATAGCCGAAGAACAAAAAGATCAAAGTAGTAGAAACGTGACTTGGAGGCTCGAAAACCATTACTTTTAACCAACCTCAGCTCTGGATTGCCAAAATTCCAAGTTCTTCTGAATGCAATGCAAATTTAAAATGACATTTTCCATCATATCCTCCAGAACTTCAAAAATCTTAGATGCCTTAGAACTAAACCTGCAAGTGAAGAACATTTATAACCCTTTAACGACCCAACTTCAAACTCAATCATCACACATGGCTAAAGGCGTCATTCAAAAACCTCAACTTACAAGAATCAACATCCTCAAAAGAGATGCCACCAAGTAGTTCATAATCTCAACACATAAAGGATAAGAGAAAAAAACAAACCTCACTATAAAACTTTCCCACAACCCGGTCTTAAAAGTTCCATCCACTCATGACTCAATAGCTTCCAAAACACCTAGATTGCAACTCAAGCTAATTTCGAACAGGAAATGTTCTTCAAGCTGTTCATCTAAATACATTCAACTTGACACTCAACAAAGTTAAGTGACTAATGAACCTCATGAAGTTAATCACTCCACTAATTTCTATCCCTCCTTCAAATTCAACAGATTTCACTTTAATCTAAATGATTCAAGTAGTATCATGACATTCCAACCGATTTACAAGCACATGTTTGATAACCTCCATAGTCTATCCACTAATTTTCCCAAAAATAATTAAGTTCTCCTTCGTTTTCCAATTATTATGCTTACACAACATCTGATATAAATGTAATTGAATTTTCACGGAAGAAACTAAGAAGCAACTTTGATCATTTAATCCAAAAAAAAAAAAAAACTTCAACTACCCAAATAGCCTTGATCAATGTTAAACAAGCATACTAGAGCATTTAGAATACGATAACCACTGTTTTCTCACCGTGAAAAAGAGTCAGACGATGAAGCGGGAGGCAAAGGGAGAGGAAGGGAAATCGTTCGCCGGCGCCGTTTCCCATTGCGTGCAGTAGCGTGATAAAGATTAGTAACTTTGCCGAGAAAATTGGTATTTGGATTGGGCAGAAAACTGATGAGTCGGTTCCAAAGATAGTTGGAGTACAATGTGACTAAGGCCTTCACATCTTTCATCGTCCTCGGCGTCAACGGCAAAGTCTCCGGCGAACCAGCACGGTTTTCAGATACAAGCTCCCCTCCTTCCATTAATGAGTACACTACCGCGATTCAAATTTCTAACTCCGGTAGGGATTTTGCGGCAAAGACGTTTTCTTTTTATGGTGAGAATCACCTCGGTGTCGGGAAATTTTATTATGTTCTAGAAAGCGATATAAACGACAGCGTTTCGTGTTGAAATTGTAAACTGTTTCTTACAAAATCGGCTATTTCCATCTTGGGATTTTCTTGTAATAGGGGCTAAATTAAATTTGCCCTTGACTAAACCAAAATGGTCAAAAAAAAAAAAAAAAAAAGAAACAACAAAAAGAACCAAAAAAAAAAAAAAAAAAAAAAAACAGTCTCCCATACAAAAAAAAATTGAAAAGTTGATGAGGGGAAAAGACCAAAACACACCATTACTCTTCTCTAATTAAACGTTAGTCACAGTATTTTGACATCCATTCGAATATTCACAACAGAGTATCATTTCAAACATCGGGATGACTATCGGAAGTGAATTGATAAACTCATTCGTTGAATATTTAATTAGCCATGTGTTTAAAAAAGTGAATTCTATTTGAGTTTCTAAATACAGGTTAATGCCTTACAAATTAAAGTATGTAGTAATAAGGTGTCAAAGATGAATAATTTTTTAAGAATACAGAAACAATAACGTATTACATATTGAAACAAGTTCACCGTTCTTGATGTCCTAATAAATTGATGTACAATGTTACTCCTTTGCTCCATGATTGAACTTTAGAGCATGACCATACCATAACTCATGATTTTCACAAAAAAAGAAATTAAAAGACCAAAGTGAAGCGTTTCTTTGTAATAATGGTGATTATTATTGTCAAAGCAATAAACTGAACAATTACTGGAAGGAATGAATTGCTCCATGATTGAACTTTAGAGCATGACCATACCATAACTCATGATTTTCACAAAAAAAGAAATTAAAAGACCAAAGTGAAGCGTTTCTTTGTAATAATGGTGATTATTATTGTCAAAGCAATAAACTGAACAATTACTGGAAGGAATGAATTTGAATATTTGCAAGCTTAAGGCTTAAGCTATCTAAGGATGATAATTATAAAAAAAAAAAAAAAGAGGAAAGACAAAACACGGGTCATAGAATCCGAATCAACTAAAACGCGCGAATCCTTTTCAGTTTTCACTTTCCTTCCTTTCCCCACCACTAACTACGTGCTGAGACATTTTTCTTCCGCTATAAATATGCAAATCTGCTTCACTTTCTTCCATATCCTATCCTACTTTTTATCTCTCCCTTTCTCGCTCTGAATCGAAGAAAAGTAATCTACTCCCTACAAACCCATTAGTACTCAGGATGGCAACTGTGGGTGACATCCGTGAATCTCAGGGCTCTCAGAACAGCCTTGATATCGATGCCCTCGCTCGATTTGCTGTTGAAGATCATAACAAAAAACAGGTGAATTTCTTCTTCTGCTGTTTTGAGATTTGTAAAGGGTTTGATCTGTTTTGAAATTATTGTTTACTTTCTGGGTTTTTGGCGCGATGATCCGATTCTTTTTAGTTGTATTGATGTTTGAATTAAAGGGGTCTATTTCTGGGAGAGTGGAAGAGGAACTCAAAAGGGCCTGCCTTATATTTTTCCTTAGAATTGCTGATCAATTTGATGATTTTATTTTCTAGTTTAAGCAGAGAAATTGTGTGGAACAAAGATAGCTGCTTGATTCGGATAAGCAAATTTTTTTTTTAATAAAAAAATGAAAGAAAGAAGAAAGGAATTTTTTATTCATGACATAAGGAAAAAGTTCTTACACTGTTGCCTTGTAGATCGATAAGGGTCTTTATGTTGCAGGGTTTTTGTGTAATCTTTAAATTGCTAGGCTAATTGGTGAATTACGCTGTTAGGACCATGCAACTTTAGTTCCCGATTCTTTTTAAATTGTTCATAGGATATGACCATTCTGGAGGCAGGGGTTCTCTTAAGAAAACCATTCCTATTAGGGTTAAGGCCATAGAAATGTGGTAAGCCCCAGGAACATATTATTTGTCTGTAAAAGTGGTCGTAGGAACGGAGTTGTCGCTTGTATATTCTTGTCATCCATTGATACCAGGAACTGACTTAATGCAAATAAATTCTCCAATCTGCATCGGTTTACATGAGTGATTGTTCTTTTGAAGAGAGAGTCGCATTTTGCAGGATTAAAGCTAGGCCACCAATTGAATATCCTTGTTTCTTGACATCTTGACTGCTGATTGTACTGTATACTACTAGCCTGTTGATTGTGCTGTATACTATTAGGCTTTCTGTCCATGTAACAAATCTTGTCCTTCCAATCAGAGGAAACACCAGCGGAGAATCCATTTATAGCTGTTTTGATTCTGTTAAATCTTTTGTACATCCAAAAAAACTCCAATGAGAGTTTCGTACTGTGCACCCACAGTGGACTGATTAATGCTTTCAATGGCCCGACCTCGATGCTCATTTTTAAGCATTAACTTGTACTGCATCCCTTCATTAACTGGTTGTACTTCCCTCAGATATTGGGATGTTTCTCCAATTCAGTATAACTGGAAAATGAATCTAACTCTTACAAAACTAAAATTTAACTAAATTTGTGTAAATGTAGATTGTAAGGTTTCTATATTTTAATGGGTTGCCTAGCAATATTAATCCTTGAGTGATTCAACTGATTGGCTGTATAGCAAATTTGTGGTTTCTGTTTCTGTATGGCTGGAAAAGGTTAAGTTATAACATAAAAATTCTTAGTGTACATGTTTACTGTGAGAATGAAGATCTATGATAGAATCAAAGCTAGTGTTGGATGTTTATATTTGTCTCACTGTTGACAACACCAGATCGTTTTGCCGCTGTTTCCCCTAATGTGACATGTTTGCATGTTGCACAATTTTCAGAACGCTCTGTTGGAATTCCAGAAGGTAGTAAATACAAAAGAGCAGGTGGTTGCCGGGACAATGTATTACATTACTGTGGAGGTGAAAGATGGCGATAAGAAGAAAGCTTACGAGGCAAAAGTTTGGGTGAAGCCTTGGATGGATTTCAAGGAAGTCCAGGAATTTAAGCTTATTGGTGATGTCTAAAGTTCTTTAAACTGGCTTAGTACAAAATAATGCCCATCAGGAGCTTATATCTATCTCAGTTGGAAAACACTTGAACCACATTCGAACCTCCTACACAGTCGTTGATGGTGGTTTCAGATGCTGTTATGTTACTACTTACTACCGTGTGTTATCTTAGTTGGAAATGGCGTTAAATTATGCTAATATAATTTTGCATCAGATTGCCCGGAACTTGAGTATTGCATATGCTAGGTTTTATGGATTTTGTACTTCTGTTTTTCTCACTCTGATCATCACAAGGCACAATCTGATTAGTTTAAAGTTGTGTCTTTTAATTAGGATTGGAGGGATTACTAATGAAACTTTTGTTGGAAAACATTAAAAAAAAAAAAAGAAAAAAGAAGAATCTTGTCAAATTTCACCATTGTAGAATCAATTCCAAATAGAAGTTTGAGGGCTCTTCAGCCAGCCTAAACTTGTTAAACTATGTAAAATGATCACAGGTCCATTAAACTTGTGAAACTACATAAAATAATCAGAAGTATAGTATGGAGGATTAGAACTATAGGTGTGGATGGCCATTATGGTAAAGTTGGGATGGATTCCTGGGATGGATTTTCAATCTAACTCCTGGAATTGGAGATGAGGAAACTGTCCTGGTCCAGCGAATCAGGTATATCCCACAGCAAAGAACGAAACCTAAATTAGTAGAGACCATGTCGGATGAGAAGAGTACTCCTCCACCTTTCTCCGGTGCCATAATGAATCGCAGAAATTTTTATATATCCTCAATACTTCTATCTCTTATTTACTCCATGGCTTATCTTTCTTTTCTTTTCTTTTCTTTTTTTTTTTTTTTTTCTCGAGAACCATTTTCAAAGCCATTGCTTCTTAAGAGTTTGTCAATTCAAGACAGCTTATTGTTGTAAAATTTGTTTTGAGCCACATCATGAACCAATTTCCCTTTTTATTAATGGCGTTGTTTCCTTTCATCATCAATTCTTTTGTTTAGTAGTATTTCGTGCGAGTCCTGGCCAGAAACTATGATTTTTGGGTAACACAATTATAGTCCTTAATGAAAAATATATCACTTCTATTAATTTCACCTAAACCAAATTTTTTTTTTTTTTCACCTTTCTGCCCCTCTCTTAACGTCACCAGTCTCACTTCTCATTACTATTTCAATTTCTCCAAATCAGTTTTAATCAATTAAAATAGAAGGGAAAGGAACCTAAAACCTATCTGAGGGGCTAGACTAGAAGAAGGTAGCGGGAAGAGAAAAGGGATTAAAGAAAGGGAGGAAGAATTAAGGTAATTGGGTTTTAGCTTATAATTCTTGTAATTATTGTTGGCTTGTATTTCAGTTTGGTTTATTGAGGTGGTGTTAGAAGTAGTGGATTGAAATGGGGAGCTACCGGGTGTCCCGTTAGTTTAATCTAGCTGCCTGTTTGATATTTACTGTCATTGATCATTTCCAACCGACTCAAATGTAATAGATTGGTTTGGAATTGAGGTCTATGGCCAGAAAACAGAGGGGAAACAAAGATGGTTGTTTGCTGTTACTATTGTTTTGTTTTTCAATGATAATGATTTGTCAAACATACTATTCGTGTTGAGTTGTTAATCGTCGTGTCATCAGATTCTCTAGTCCAATTTGGTTGAATTAAGTGCTATAGGTGAAGGGTAGTGGTGATGAAGATATCTCCTTTAAAATTAAAGGAAAAAAAACAGAATAGATACTGTGATGATGATGTTTCTGTTTTCTTGTTGGTCATGACTCTGCTGTTGTTTGTTAAATTTTGGTGCTGTGGGGACGGGAGAGAAAATGGTCTGATTAGATTTTAGGGAATAGAAAAGAGAGGGAGCAGAGGAGCTTGGAGTTTGGTTCTTGAAGTTTAAAAGATAGAAAGGTTAAGGTGTACCTGGATGTAGTGTGTTCTGAGGTTTGAAGCTTTTAGGGAAATGGAACTAAGACTTAGTTTAGTTCTGCTTTTGAATTTTTATTTGATCTAGGAAAAGAAACAGTGGCTAAACCTTATAATTCTTGCATGTTGTTATTTGACCGGCAGATCAAGTGTGTGAGACTGAGTGACGAGCTTCCTTATAATACTTGAGTTATCCTCACTATTTTCAAAGTTATTTTCAAAACCGGGAGTATGGAACTATTTTCCAAATGACACTCCACCTCACATAAGCACGTTTTAACTCTTATCAAAATGAACAGATGCATGCTATTATATGGTCCAAGAGTGTACTTCATCGCTCTGGATTCCATTCTTGTATATGTGAGTGCTTTGCAATGATTAATAACTTGATTGTGATTTTGTGCTAATGTGATAGACAGTAATGTGTGTGATTATGTACTAATGTGATAGACTGTAATGCATATGATTACGTGCTAATGTGATAGTTAGTAATGTGTTAATGTAAATGGTACTCGGCAGTGTACTTGACCATCCCGAGAAATGTATTATAGTGGCTGTGAATGAGTGAGTGTAAAGTGTTAATATGTGTGCATTGAGTGGTCTAGTGTCACTTAAAGCCTGGGCCCTTCCTTGTGCCAAATAGGCGCTTAACGGCTCCATACAACGATTCCCCGTAATGGAAGTGTTTAATGCTTAAGTGGAAATTGTTTAATGTTATGAAGTGCAAAATGTGAATGATACATTTGTTCATGATTGACTCTTTTATCGAATTTGTGTTTTATTTTTGAAATGATTTATTATATGTATCTAGTAGTATTATAGGGACCTCACCAAGCACGGAGCTCACACTAATGTATATATATTATTGTTCCCTCCCAGCATAGGGGTTTTGCTGTTTCGGAGCTGGGAATGTTTCAGGGGAATCGACGAGTGTGTGGAAGGATGTTGTGCATGGTTAGTTTGTATATAGTTTTATAACAGCCACTTATGAATCATAGTCCTCTCTAGTTTAGTTTTGTGGTAGTTTTTTTTAGTGGCTGAATTTTGCAGTGAGAAAAGGAGTTTTAGTTTGTAATGCAATACAAACTAGCATGTCTTGTAATATTCAAACCAGAGTTGAGTTCCTCTGGTTAATGAAATATAATGTCTTTTAATTAAGAGATTTGAAATGTGTTGATGAAATTCTGAAATAGTGTTTTAATTAAGCTAAGCCTGGCGCGAGCTAGGTGGTCGTCCCAATTAGTGCCTTCGGCTTGGATCAAACCAGGGAGGTGCTTGTTGGGTCGTTACAGTTCCATCTGTGTAATTATCTGGTTTTGCAGGGATTGGGAGGAGATGACCTATGTCTGCTGTTTTTTCACTTCCTAACTCCCTGTAAGATATGCTCTTCTCAACAATTTGCCAATTTTTCTTTCTTTTCTTTATACAGTTTTTGAAGATGAGTTCATTTTCTCCATTTTCTTTTGGCATATTGTTCAGTTTAAGAAATATTGGAAGGGTTACAAAGTACCCCTGGTTGAACTCTCCTTTTGAGTTGAATTTCCAATCTAAGCATTCATTTGGAGGAATTGGGATGGGGAGTCCTCAGCATAATGATCTGAAAAAAGATTCAAGAGGAGCTTTAATTGTTCTTGAAGGTTTGGATCGTTGTGGAAAGACGTCTCAGTCTGCTCGATTACTTTCATCATTGGAAGGTCTGAGATATTCAGTTGAGTCATGGAGATTTCCTGATAGAACTGGTGTTGGGTTGATGATATCTTCTTACCTTTCGAACCAATCACAATTGGATGACCATGCCATTCATTTACTATTCAGTGCAAATCGGTGGGAGAAGAGGTCTGTTTGCGATGTAGATATTAGTACCTTCAATCAAAATATACCCTTTTTGTGAAGTGAAACAGCTAGATGGTTTTCCTTTTCTGACTCTGGTTGGAGCCTTTAAATTCATTGGAGGTTGTAGAGGCAACCTATGATTTTATAGCCATCACCCTGATTTGGATGATATATTTGTGCTGACTACTTTCATTGTAGATCATTAATGGAAGCTAAGCTGATGAGTGGAACCACTCTCATAGTTGATCGGTATTCTTACTCCGGCGTTGCTTTCTCAAGTGCAAAAGGACTTGATTTTCAGTGGTGCAAGGTAAAAAAGAAAAATGGTTAGATTTGTCGGAATGCCAACTAAAGCTCGGGTTACTTATTCATATGTTGCTCTTATGCAAGCTCCAGAGGTTGGGTTGTTGGCCCCTGATTTGGTGTTTTACCTGGACATTTCACTAGAGGTAATGCTAACTGATACGCTTTTACCCTAAGTGAATGATTAAACTTCTTTGATTTGAATTTTTTTTTTTTTTGAAAAGGGTTTGAGTTGAAGTTACTTATATTTGTTGAACATGAAATTATTCTGAGAAAGAAAACTTTAGCAATTTTTTAGAGGATGGGAAGAGCTGATATAGATAAAGCTAATCTGAGGATGAGAAGAGCTGATATAAATAAAGCTAATCTGCTTTGTCAGATGAGTGAATCCAGATTTCCAACCATTAATTCTTACTTAGCCTCTTGTTACTATGGATTGCCATATTTGCAACTTTTAAAAAGCACAAATAGGAAATTGCAAATGAGAATTTACATATGAGAGTAGCCTGGTCAAACTTGAAAGGTGGGCATGTTTTCATGTCTGTTATGTACTTAACATGATGTTAAGAAAATTTACGGTTGTATATGGATATAATAATTCAGTCTGCTTTTTTGACATCCAAGACAACTTTTTGACACAAGACTAGTGTACAACCTTTACCATGCTTGTTCATAGGAGGCTTGTAATTTGCCTCTATTGGTACATGTTTTGGTGACTGGCATGTGGAGAGCTTGTTGTCACTATCAAGCAGGAGCGCTGTGAATTGAAAATTGGTTTTGATGAGTCCTTTGACTATGGCTTCCCTTGTTTATTGGTATGACTCTGGCGGCACTAGGACCCATTTGGACTGAGATATATGAGAAGAACAAATCGCTTGCTGTAGAGTTAAAAGACAAGTGTCTTCGAAGCTTTAAAAGCTGAAAACTGATTTAGAAAGGCAAATACTACTTTAAGCATTTCCTAAACAACTCTGGATTACATTGATTGTTCTTGCATCAAACTCATTTTTCGTCTCACTTTTGTGAACACCAGAAAGCTGCTGAAAGAGGAGGTTATGGAGGGGAGAGATATGAGCAGCTTGAATTTCAGAAGAAAGTTGCAGAATCTTACAAGAAGCTTACTGATGCTTCCTGGAAGGTAAAATTTATTTCTTTTTTCCTTTTTCATTCAGTTTTAAGTCCCACAGCAACCTTATAATTTATGTAGCCTTCTGAGCAATTCCGGGGCATTGCTTTCTATAGTTCTTGAATGAAGTTCAAGAAATTTCGAGGAGATCCAATTTGAAAATGTCATTTTGTAACTCACTGTAAAATGTCATGCAGTCAATATTGTGGCATTACTGTTCATTCTTTTTCTTGGTTTGTTTTGCAGACTGTTGATGCCTCTCAACCCATTGAAGATATTTAGAAACATCTGAAAGAGATAACACTGAGATGCATAGTTGCATGCGAAAAGGGGAAATCTCTCTCGCTGCTCTGGCCTTAGTAGGTTTGCTAGTAGTGTCGTCGTCTGAGTTCTATCCATCACAGTTTCATGGGAACTGTTTAAATGGAGCTACGGCGGAAACAGCACGTTCTGTCATTACTGACGGCCATTTTCCTTTACATATTTGAAGCAGGTTCAATTATCAAAAAAAAAAAAATGATGATTTCCTTGAGGACCTTTTTTTTTTTTTTTGAATGTGTGTGTGTGTGTGTGTGTGTGTATGTGTGTTGTGAAGCAATGATCATAAAAAACATTCATTTCAGATCTTGTTCTTTTTGTTGTAAAATGTAAACTATAAGCTCTCAATTAGCACCAACAGAAAACTAAAACAATCATGTTAGTACTCAGAACCGCATTACCTGTTCTGTGAACATTTGCTATTGTCATTCTAGGTACTTTTTAAACCCACAGTTAGGTGCTAGTGAATCTAGTTACCTAATATCTGTACTAATATCCAGGACATTATTTGGAAGATTTTTACCTCCTTTTTGAATTCCTCCTACTACGGACTTGTGTTTTTGCAGGAGAAAGTTACTTATGGTTCTCCCTCTTGCTTTTCGGAGATTCCGGCGACGGTGTATATGGATGCTGAAAATAGGAGTAGCTCGATGCAATTTACCTTCCTTCAAAGTTTAGTTCCCCCATGCCACGGTTCCTTTTGTTTTAGTCACTTTGTAGGCGCCATGTCTTTCTCAACTATTTCAGTTCTCCTGGATTGATTATCCTGAGAGTGGCTATCAAATATTTTAGTTCTTTAATAACCCATGTTCTTAACCATTGCCTTCCCAAACTCTCTCATCTCTGGATTTCCAAATGCTAAACGATATGAAGAAGGATCCTTGATAGGAGCATCAGCATACTCTGCTGAAGACTTCACAATCTAGGAAAATATATGTTGCAGCCATTCATTATCCTTCTCACATCACCTGCATGATGTTGGCGTTGCGATTCCTCTACCGCCTTATAAAAGGAAGTGCATTGTTCGCCGCTTTCCATACTAGCCACCGGATTCATCCTGAGATCTTTATGGACCAAGATATCTTCGTAGCCTCTTCAATTACTCTAGATGAGCACATTCCATCTTTGCCTTCTGCAACTGCTTCATAACATCCACTTTTAACCGGGAATATTCCAACTTGTGGCATGTTCTGATATTTTGAATATTCCTTCTGAACTGGATTAATAGGATGAAGAAGGAGCTGTTATGTCCAACTTGTGAAGGTTGAAGAGAAAGAAGCAGCTGTTATGTCCGGTAATCTCCCCAAGAACCATGTAATTTTATTAACATTCAATCAGATAGTGTAAAAACTCTCAGATTTTACTTCAGAAAGACTTGACTTTTAATTTCAGTTAACGAGGCCAGTTTGATTGAGAAGATTCCAAAGGTTGGATGCTGGCGGTTGCACTACAGTAATATACTCACTAATCATCATCCACTGCAATGTAGGTAAATTTTCATTGGATTGTTTTCTCTTTTTTGAAACTTAGAAAAGAGTTCTTGCACACTTCTCATCCAGTCTTTCTTTGTTTGTTTATTTGCCTTCATCTTCCAAATTTCTTGTGGAGATTAAAAATGTCAGTCTTGTTTCTTGATCAATTGCATTTTCTAAAGGGTGGTTCCAAATGAAACTTATCCACTTGTTTTATCGAAGGGAGAGAGTTTCCAGCATTAAGCATTGGTTTCTATATACTTCCCTTGTCCCAGAAAAATAATCCACTTTGTTTTAAGATCAACAAAATGAGTTAAATTACTAGAACAGAACCAGGTGTAATAGATTCCTTTCATTCAACTGAAACCCCACTCACTCAACTACTCTTACACAATGTACTGATGGATTTGGAGCTAATTGTTTCCTCCTCTGAATCTAATCTCCATTTGATTGCGTAGTCCAACATTCCGAAGGGGCAGTTCTTTTTCTTTTCCTTGGCTTGTTTATTTTAATCGAAAAGAGTCAATGGTCTGAACTGTCATTGATTTCGTTTAACCAACTGGATCCTACTTGCTCTCTCCTGTCCTTTTCTCTTTCATTTTTTGCATACTTTAAGAGCATCAAAAGACTCCAAGTGGTTTTAAATAATCAGCAGCTCTTTCTTTTATTCATGACATGATTCAAGAGTCAGTAATTCTTTTTTTTTTTTTTGCAGTAATTTGTTTGCGGTGTAGGAAATTTGCACTCTGATATGCTGAGATGCACATTCCAACAGCTATCTCCGCCTGCTGCTGATCATTTGTTTTTGGTGAGTTTGGTCCAATCTGATATCAAAGTATGAGAGTGCAGGAAGGAAGACTAAGAACCCGCTTTGATTCAAAGTCTCCTTCTCTGTAAAGTTTAATCCATCTCTTCCTCATACACTCACTGAGGTCTTTTTTCATCATTCACCCCCAATCCCAACTTTGTCAGAATTTTACAAGCAACAAGCAGCAATATGGCCTCCATCTCCATTACTTCTATTATTGGCCTGCCAATCAGTTGGATTTTGTCGATTCTGTATTGGAAAAAATGAAGAAGGTATTAATCCAGGAAATTGAACCAATTGAAAACAGGCAGCGAGTTCAAACCATCCATGATAAACTTGACTGCTGCAGATCATTCTTGAGAGATGTTGAGGAGTTGCACCGCCAACAACAGGATGAACTCCAAGCTCTCTGGGATCGTGTTTTCAAGGTGACAAACAATGTGAACACACTCGTTGGCCAACTACTGTCTGCTGATCAATCAGATTCTTCTTCAGAATTAATTGCTTCCATTTTGGAAGACATCCTGAGTACTGAGCCCGACATTGAAGTCAAGAGATTTGAACTCAGAAGGAAAGACAAAAAACTGAAGGTAAAGGAAGTCACCAGGTCCGGCAGTCACTTGTCATCATCGCCATTTCCCTTTACTGCAAAAGGTGAGGTTGTGGGTTTCGTCAATGATGAAAGGTCAATTAAGGATCAATTCACAGGAGGCTCAATGCATTTGCGGATCGTTGCCATTGTTGGTATGGTAGGACTAGGTAAAACCACTTTGGCTACTAAAATTTTCGATGATTCTTCGGTTTTGCATCATTTTCATGTCCGGGCACGGTGTGTTGTTTCACAAGCTGTGGACAGGAGGAAAGTGTTATTTCAACTCCTAAATCAGATTGTTCCTAACGTTAAATCTTCTGAGCTCGGTGAAGCTTTGGCGCGGTTTAAAAGGAAGGAGATATCTCATATTTTTGGATGATATATGGGACGTGGAGGCATGGTATAGCTTGGCAGGATCATTTCCTGATGACAAAAATGGAAGCAGAATTCTTATCACAAGTCGTCATCGTAGTGTTGCTCCTCAACATTTGCTGGCGCAGGGGCCTCATTCTCTTCGGCCTCTCAACAAAGAAGAGAGTTTGGAGCTACTGCAGATGAAGCTGTTCCTGAGAAATGATTCTTGGACTCCTGCACTAAGTGATTTTGCTACACAAATTGCTAAATACTGTAAAGGCTTACCACTGACAATTGTTATAGTAGCTGGACTACTGAAAACCACAGAGCCAGAGGGTTGGGAGAAGATTAGGGATGATTTAAGCTCGGGCCATGCATCCGTTATAGAGCACTGCATGAACACGTTGGAGCATAGCGATGAACATTTACCAGATCATTTAAAACATTTCCTCCTCTATTTCGGAGCATTTCCAGAAGATAAAGAGATTTCGGCAGAGAGATTGCTTCATCTCTGGATAGCAGAAGGATTTGTACAGAAAGCTGAGGGAAACCGCATAGAAGATGCTGCTCAAAGTTACCTAAAAGTGTGTTCGGCTACTTGCTTTTGGGATTCAATTGGCATTAGAATATTTTGTGATTCAATTGGCATTGAAGATATTCTAATTCAATGCCAATTTATCCATTTGGCAAAATCATGGAATTGGTCACAAATTCAATTGGGATTTCAAATTCTCTGTTCATATAGTCTAGTAATTAGGTTGGTTTTGGTTTTTGTTTATTTTTTTACAAAAATAAAGAAAAAAGAAAAAAATTGATTTATTTTGAAATTATTTCAACTTTTAATTTTTGTTATGTTAAATAATAACATTTCTAGAATAATATATTTTGTTACCATATTTAAGGTGACAAATAAGAAACTCTTTAAATTTTTATTTTTTAAATTTATCAATTATTTATATATTCATTATAATGATCAATTTAGGTCGATCCAACACTGTCACATTAATATAAATATAAAATTACAAAAATTGAGTTGCAATTATTTCCAAAATATGGACGCCTTAGGTACATTTCTCGTGCTATGCTGTAATCAATACTTGGCTCTTTCACCCTATATCTTTCATGCCATTGTGAAGCCTGAGAAGCAAATTCCAACATACGAAAGATAATATATGTCTTCCTTACTGTACTTGATGAGCTCTCATCATCACTTTCACCATCAAATAAGGACAAGGATGGATCGATGAACTGAATTCAAATAATATCAAAACTAATTAAAACTGAAAAAAAAATACTTCAAAGGATAACACATTCTACTTACTTACACTAGATAAGGAAACAAATTATGGTATCGAAGTCGAATCCATAATGAAGACAAATTATGACAAGCAAAGACATAAACCATGATTTCATTAAGACATTATAATAGCAACCATGATATTTATCGACCTGAGGATCCAAATTCTAAATAGAAACAGATTTTGGTTCACATAATGAGCTTCTAGAGCACTGAACCACAGAATTTAAATAAAATCTTGGGAGAATTCACTACCTCAAAACACATGTGGGAAGCCAAAGCTATAAGGGACACATATATATTGGACTTAAACTAAAAGATAATGAGACAATAAACATAATACTAGGACATGAATCAAATTCAAGTACTCCCAGTTCATCCTCATTTGCTCATAAAATTTCAGGATCTGAAACTTCATTCTAATAACAACAATGAGTTCATGGAGCCACACCAATAGGTTAGCTGGAAAATCATACAACAGCTCTACTTAATACCAGTAACCATAAAACACTATTCTTCTGCTCCCAAAACACAATTATAAAGGCTGATAATTCAGCCATTGTCTATCCTTGCATCTTAAATATGAAGGAACGAAAGCTAACATACAACAACAATAAAATGAACTACCTAGTACTTCTATATTAACAGACTAGTAACGTAATCAAAGTCTGAGTATAACCGCCAACATTCAAAGAAAATAGGATCTAGTAGAAACATGTAATTTCACAAACATCCAAACAAATATCCAAATAACTACGATTGGCAAAATCTAATCTTCAAATCACCCATAAAAAATTTTATCCCATTCATAAACAAGTCAATGACGAATGGGCTAAAACATTACTTAAAACGCAAAATCCCTATAAGAAGTAATGTGCCAGGAAATATCATGTAGAACTATTAAGGCATAAGATAAGTTATGCATAGCACTATACTTCAGAGTCCAGAAACCACCTTCCTTTACCATTCACACAAACACAAAGCATCTGATCTTTCATCAAAATGCATAGCACCCATTAAAGAATTTGGAAAATTAAAAGACTCTTAAAATTACTAAAATGGGCAGAATCTAATCTTTAATTTATCCAAACAAACATGCCAATTTAAGAACGGACAAAAATATTTGCTTCAAATAGATATCCCAAACAAATAATAAGGTGATGGATATTCAATTCAGCAGAATGAATACGATTGCTTCTCCAAGAAATATATAAAGTACTCAGCAATACATTTGTCTCTGTTTCTTCCCAAAAAACACACCACACAACTATTAACTAGTTGAAATCCCAAAAATTAGAATCTTAAAACAGGATCACTTCATAGATCTACACGAACCCATTATCATAGCTAAAAGGAGACAAAAATCAGAGAGAATGCCTTGCCTGATTGCAGTGAAGCCCAAAATTGAGGATGGTGCGGCAAATATCATAGCCGAGGCCGCTCTTATCTGGGAAATGGAGTTTGAAGTCCCTTTGCGTGCTGGACTTGGAGGCGGACGCCGGAGAAGAGAAGTCGGTGGACTATGTTGTTGAGAAACAGAACAGAACAAGGTTTTGTAGAAGCAGACCCAGTTTGAATTCGACACTAATAAACAAAACCCATAAAAATTCAGACAGATCCCTGCTGAAATAAGACCGGTTTAATCGGAAATCTAAGCATCAGGAGAGTATGGGAAGCTAACCCTAATCCATGCGAAAAGAAGAAAGAGAGGAAATAATAAAGAGGGAAATAAGAAAGAGTGGAGTCTCCGCCTCCTTTTCCTTCGCCTTTGCCGTTGTCAATCGGTGGGAGATGTGCAGAGTCGGAGATGAAGGGGTGGTGTCGCGGTGGAGTAAGGAGGAGCCGAGCTTTTTTTTTTCCTGAAGAAGTGGAGGAGCCGAGGAGAGAGAGATAAATAAAAAAAAATAATAATAAAGCCATCAAAAAGTAAAAGGTGGGGAGGATCTGGATAGCTTATAACTCGAATTTTTTTTATTTAACCCGAAAACGACCCGCGAACTAGTCAATCCCACAAGAGTTTGGAATCCCAAATAATAGTTTCAAGCCCGGAATTAAAATTATGGCATTGAAAGCCTTTTGGCATTGGCCTAATGCCAATTCCATAGTATTTTTTATGAGCTGAACGCCAGATTTGGCATTGAGGGCTCAAATTCCAAATCCAAGCCCCCAATGCCATGCAAACGAACAGAGCCTAAAAGATTTGGTTGGCAAAAGCTTAATTGTGGCTGCCAAACAAAGATGGGATGGTGTGGTCAAAGCATGTTGCATTCATGACTTGATTCATGAATTTTGCAAACGGAAAGGCCAAGATGAACATTTTTTCCATGTTGTAACAATGATTGATGATCTTGCTACATTAAATGAGCCATGTCTCCAAAGGATGTGCATCCGAAATGGGCTACAACATTTTCTATAGTCAGAGTTGTTGTGTCCTCATGCATGTTAACTTTTTCCTCACCTCCTCCCTGAAATTGAAAACTATCTCATGGGTGATTCGCAGCTTCAAACTTCTGAGAGTACCGGATTTGGAGCATGTTGACATATGTTGTCGGCTCCCAAGTGAAATAGAATCGCTCTTTCAATTGGCATTCCTAGCAATTAAAGGCAAGATATGCAGTAACCTATCATCAATAACCATCCTCTCAAATCTGGAAATTCTTATTCTAGTGCCAAGTGAAGAAGTTTCATTAACAGACAGTCTTTGGAATTTACAGAAATTAAAGTATCTTCAAATATGGTATCCTTATGGTATTTTGCCCGTAAAAGATCTTGATGACGCACTGATTTTATATGAGCTGGATAGGCTATGTGGTGTGGTGATTCCTTCTCTAGACAGCATGGAAAGGCTTATGAGAAAGTTTCCAAACATCCGTAGGTTCAAATGCAGACTTTTTGTTCATGTGGAAAATCATATAGTTCGGGACAAGATTGTATTTCCTGACTCTTTGAGTCAACTACAAACACTCAGCATGAAAAGTAATAGGCCATTAGTTCCTCCCATCACTTTTGAATTGTTTTTGCCAAAACATCTAAAAAAGCTGAGCTCGTTGAAATTTGTTTTGTCTTGGAGGAACATTTCTACCATTGGTCAACTGCCTAACCTTCAAGTGCTCAAACTACTCAGCATACACTTTGAAGGGGACACATGGGAAATGGAAGAAGGTGACGATACCTGAAATTGTACCACCGGTCTAGCGGTAGAACTCCGATTAGGGTTTCCTGAAAAACAGAGCCTCGGGGTCTCCGGAGGGTAGACACTCCGATACTTAAGTCAGAAAATAAGATTGCGTAATAGTTTGTGTATGTGAATTGGTGTTAAAGATAGCGTACCTCAATTGTTGTGAGACCTATAGGCATGGAATTACCTCTAGGGAAGCCAAATCCCACTAGGATGCCTATTCTTGAGCCGCCTCTACAAGGTCGGTTAAGCCCTAATTGGCATATGGGCCGGTCCGGTAATCTTTGGTGGATATGGACTCGTCAAGTGCCCTTGTCAAGGGTTAATTGTATGAAATAAATAAGACTTGACACAAAACAAATAATACCTGGATCCGGCCCAAGTTATAGGAGGCAAGACTGGTTGGACAAGACCCGGCCCAATGGGTACAAAACAGACCAAATGAATTGTCCGCGGGTTAGGACCCGAACCGAGAAGGCGAGCCGATTCAAGAATCCCGCCCAAACCAAAATCGTGCCCCGATAATGCGCACGTTTCCCAAACGATGGCCGTGTCATCATTACTAGCCTTGAACCCAACTCAAACCGTCGGAACGTGGGAGAGAAATTCGCTTATATCAAGAAAGAAACCAAGAGTTTTTCTTTCCCCTCCTTCTTTCAAAACTCAGAACCTGAAAACGCAGAAAGTTGCAGCACCCGCTACCACTGAGAAGAGCCACCGTCTTGGGCGAATATCATCCAAAAGGTCAACCTTCAGATTCCAATAAAAGTGAGTCCTTCAACCTTAGTGTGTGTTGTTGTGTTTATTTTTCCCGAGTCTTATTGCCTTAGCAAATATTGTGGTAGATATGGCTATCCGTACAGTCTCCAACTTTGTTTCCACCATAAATTTTGTTGATAAGGCCCAGGCCATAGCCAGAAAATACAATTTCCCCGTAGATCTAGACTATCAAGCACCTTTAGGTACAGAAAGGGCTACTACACCTCTAGAGGGGAAGATAACCATATACGATAGGTTTATATTCCTAGGATAAGGTTTCCCCTGTACCCCTTGTTTGGAGAGATAGTTCAGCATTACCAAATCCCCCTCGCTCGATTTACGCCGAACATGATATTGGCAGTCCTCGGATTTGCGAGACTTTGTGAGTTGAGGAAGGTGGAACCGCGTCTATTACTATGGAGGTATTTCTTCAAAGTGTGTGTCCCCTCGACAAATACAAGGACTAGTATAACGTCAAAAGGAATCCTACGTCGGGTGCAAAGCAGATAGTAGAACTCTTCGACGGTTCTTCAACGTGAAAACCAAATTACTTGTTTGTACAGGCGCCAAAGGAGTTTTGCGTGACCTGGGATCACCGTGAATCCCAGGAGATGGGCGTCATAGCTGACGTCTGGTCTAAATCCGACAAGGCCAGGATCGAGCGCCATAGGGACGACGTCACTGCTCTGGAATCTTTTGGGAATTATCTCAACTAGTCAAAACTGCAACAATATATTCCCCCAGTCTCTGTCATGGATAAAAAAAGGTACTAACTTCTCTTGTGTATTCTTTTTGTCACAGGCTATGTCGTCGAGCAAGAACACCATTGGCTTGTTTGGTGATGCCAAGATTTTTGATATTAAAAATTCAGATGACGAGGAGTCCTCCACCCAAGTTGGCCGGAAGAGAAAGCTGAGAAGATTGGTGAAAGCGTCGGAAGCAGGCGCTAAGTTGAAGAAAAAGAAAAAGCAGCAGACCCCAGCTGTCGAGAAGGAAGCACCAATCGAGGAATTTACCCCGATCAAGGAGGACAGGCCCGTGGAGGGTGACATTCCGATCGAGGAAAACCTATCACCGAGAAGGATGCCCCCATCGAGGGGAATAAGGCTATCGGGAGCAGTGTCCCTCCAGAGAGAAGTAGGAACCTGGACACAGGGCGAGATCCCAGCTGGTTCTCAACTGGAGCACCCTCGCTAACTCGGAGGAAGGATGATGCTGAGAATCCGGAAGCTTCCCCTGGATCGAAGAAGTGGCTGAAACCCTGACAGATGAAGAAGCCCTAACGTTGGTAAGAATTGCCTTTACACGTCCTTTACCTCTGTGGCCTACAACTGGTGTCTTGATTTGTGCTGATCTTGTGTTTATAACTTTGACAACTAACCACCTCCCTAGAGAGTATTCTCATGCACAAAAAGAAGCTGAGGGAGGAGATCTCCAACCTAGAGCTCAAGAAGGGGTTCCTCGAGCACGAAAAGGCGATTAACGAGGAAGCAAGGAGGAAGAAGTAGCTAATTCGAGCTGCTAAGGAGGAAGAGTTAGCCAAGGCCCAAGCTATGCATGTAGACCTCGAGGCCAAGCTGAAGGAATATGGGGAAACTCATATACCCAAGGCAGAGTTGCAGGCATGGGTGACAGCCTTTTGGAATAGGATGATGCCCACCGGCGGAATGGCTAACGTCATGGTGGGTATTAGTGAGGCGGCTATCACCCTGGGTGGCCACGGCATGGCTGTTGCTGCTCTGGAGAGAATGGAATCGGGGAAGCCTATCAACGCCGGCTGGCTGCAACAGTTCGTAAAACCACATCCCCAAAAGTCGCTTCACGAAGCAATATAGAATGGGTTGCTGCGTCTGTCCTCCGAGCAACTCCCCCTGTTTGAGCCTTTCTGCAACGCCATCTCCCGGATGGGTTCACCCTCAGAGATCACCGCCTTCGAAGGAGATGCTCCAACGGTGCTACCGGCTGAACCTGGGGAAGAGATGTGGGTACCAGAGCTGAACCGAGATTTTATCGGCGTCGAGCTGGCTTTTGATGAAGATTCCTTGGAGGAGGTCGAGGAGGAGGAAGGCCAAGAGCAGGGAGCTGAGAAGGGTCCCGTGGGCGAGGAGGAGGAACCCCCAACAGGGGATCCTGTAGAGGAGGCTAGCGGGAGCCAACCAAATGTCCCGCCCAACCCAAACGCTGTATGAGGCTTTTATCTAGTAATAGGGTTTTTACCGCTTGGGTTATAGCCCTTAGCTTCTTGTAGTGAACGAAGTCTATTATTTTGTAGTTTATGGAGTACCTTTTCTACTTTCTCCTTTTGTCATTTTTAATGCTTCCTCGCTGATTATTCCAGGAGCCCTATTACGTCCACACTGTGCATCTGTTGATACTTGAGGTAGAAGAGATTAAGCAGTTTCCTATGTACGCCATGATTTCATCAGCGTTAAGAAAATTCGGGAACGTCCACAATACCTCCATAGTGGGAGCACTCGAGAAAGAATTTGCGGATGCTGTTCAAGTCTATAACGTGCAAGTGCATTCCCGCTTGGTTCGACGTTTTAAGCAGAAGGAGGAGGAATGGAGACGTCGACTCCACCAGTATGACCTCGACTTCCACGACTCCCTAATTTTAGAGGCCAATATCAGCGACAAGATGAAAAAACTGAAAGACGAAAATGCTCAACTGAGGAAGCGGGAGAAGATCACTATATCTCCATGGTTCCTCAAGAAATTCGAATTGCTCGCCTTGGTCGACAAGCAGATAGAAGTCCGGACGGAGCATTTCATAGCTGCCATCGAACTTTTAAAGAGAAGGACCAAAGAAGCAGAGTTCTATTCAAAACAGGTTGCTGTGCTGCAGAACATATTGGTCGACAATGAGATCGCTCTACCATTTTTGACAATCTCGACCCAAATGAGGTGGCGAAAGAGAGGACTGCTGCTGAGGAATTCCTGCTCAGAATCGACGAACAAGACTAGGAGATTGTAGACTTGAAGGATAAGCTAGGCCATTATATTAACCAGCTTAGGGCCATCGGGTTCTTTGGGGTTATTAAACCTTCCCGAGTTAACCCTAGAGGAAAAAATCTTAAGATTTAAATGTATAGTGTAGTAATACATTCTCCTCGAGCTTGTGTAAGCGGTTTAAATGTATAATAGTGTAATATATTCTTTTCAAGTTTGTATAAGCGTCGATTAGGTCAATGTACTCGAATCATGATTTGTAAAAGCGCTTTATGGGCCGGATGTAAAGTACACGGCGCTATCGAGGAACCGGGCACGGGTCCCTCGATGAAATATTATTGCGATCTACGGTAGATACGAGGGAAGGTCCTCGGTTTGTGTGTCTGGATGTTGAATACACGGCACGATCGAGGATGACCCTAAAGAGGGTGTCCATCTCGCTGACTAGTCATGAAATAGTGTCGACATATTTAAAGTATGAAAACTATGTAATGGCTTTTATTAATAATTGCCTGAGGACCCGGGATAGCATTACATAGGAAGAAAGTAAAAATAACAAGCCATAGAGCAAACAAGATAGCACATAGCATAGAATAATTTAGACATAGAACCTGCGAAGGTTCTGAATGTTCCACCACCGAGGAAGAGTAGTCTCTGTGTCATCTGCTGTCTGCAGTCGATAGCTTCCAGATGGGGAGACCTGAATGACTCGATAAGGTCATTCCCAATTTGTTGATAGTTTTCCCTGGGCATCTGCTCGACTAGCTTCATTTTTTCTGAGTACTAGATCCCCGACTGCGAAGTTGGTGCCCCTGACTCGCTTATTATAATGTTTTCGAAGGATCTCTTTGTACTTTGCTTCCGGGACTTTTACGGCGTCTCGCCGTTCCTCGAGCAGGTCGAGGTTAGTCAGGATGTCTTCGTTATTGGTCGTCTCGACAAAGTTGTTTGTTCAAGGACTGGGAAGACCGATTTCTACTGGGAGAATCGCGTCCATTCCATAGACCAGACTGTAAGGTGTTTCCTCTGTAGAAGAGTGAGCTGTAGTGCGATATGCCCATAGAACGTGAGAGAGTTCGTCAACCCAAGCACCTTTGGCACCGTGCAACCTAGTCTTGATTCCGTATAAAATAGTTCTGTTAATCGACTCAGCTTGGCCGTTTGCTTGGGGATGAGCTACCGCGGAAAATCGGTGCTCGATCTGCATCTCCGCGCACCATGATTTAAACGGATCACTCTCAAACTGAGTCTTGTTGTTTGATACAATTACCCTCGGCACTCCGAAACGGC